AGCAAATTAGCTGAACCTGTGGCTTACACCTGTCAGTCCATTCAAGGATTGATTGTGATTAGCTCTGCACCTGAGGTAAAGAGATTAGGGGCAGGTATTGATCAGCTGTATGACCTCAGCAAAACCATTTCTCTCCACGCTTCAACTCCTCTGTGCAACCAAGACAGCAATCCCAAGGCAGTGCGGTAGAGCTCTTGGATAAACACCCAAAGAATGAGAAAGGGACAGATCAGTCACAGACACTCATGGGCAGAGGGCTGGACTGTGTGCAGCCTGCCACCACGGGGCACGAGTCACAGTAAAGTCACACCCGCTCCAAATTATTCTCCAAAAAGCTCAGGATGAGCGATCGTCTATGCCTGCTGCCACCAGAGCCATCTGGACTAATTATTAGCATTTACTAATGCATAAGAACTACTGCAAACAGCAGAGCATCATGAGTTCTAGCTAGTCCCATGAAGGAAGGAGTTTCCCCAAAATGTCAGGAAAAGACCCATTCTGGGTAATGCACTGTGCAAAGGATAGGTGGGAGAAAAATCACCCTGCCTTGAACTCTTCCTCAGAATCCTTCTGGAGTGAAAAGGACAGCAGCGCCAGGGCAGAGCGCGAGCCCGCCCGTGCCACTGCTCTGCCCCAGCACGGAGGTGACTGGGGACCCACAGAGCAGGGACAGCGGTGCCTCTCCAACAGCTCCCGGCCTTCGGCTCCCTGTCTGACTCAGGAAACTGCTCGGCTGGGCAATTAGCCCCAGCTCCCGTGTGTTTATTAACGCCCTGTACAGGTCTCATCCCTAAATGCTCCCGGATTTCCTGGGAACCTGTGAAGACTCCTGGTGCCCCCAGTGCCACGCGGCGAAGGGCCCTGCAGCCCCAGCGCTTCGTGCCGGCAGCGCCGCTGCCTCACGGCCAGACTCCCGTTTGCCTTCCAGAAACGAAAGGCAGACTTCTGAAGCCCGAGCCTAGCATGCAGTTATGTAGTTTCAACTTGGAAACCACCTCTGTGGTGCAAGTCTAACCCTGTGTTAATGGGCTGGGGGGCAGAGGAATCTCCCCTTCTTGGTACTTGCTCCTGGGCAAAGGAAAGACAGAGCTAGGAAAGACCACCAGCTTCACTGAATGCTGCCCCTGCAGCCACTGCCAACCCTGCAGCAAGGCCCAGCCTGCCCCGGCACTTGGCACCTCCACTCCGCGCAGGGCACTTGCTGCGGGTGGCCCAGGAGCGCAGGACCAAGCCCAGGCGAAGACCAGCAGTAGCTATTGCAGTGTAGGACAAAGAGACACAAGGAAAGATTGAAGGTGAATCGTGTTATGGCTTCCCACAAACTTGTTGATAGCAAAACCAAGGGATGAAGCTGCAGGAGAGCAAACTAACAGTTTGGAAAGAGTCTGCCCAGCAAGCCCTGTTGTTCCAATTTCCTGCTAAGCCTCCTGCAGCCTTGATCCAAATTGTAACAGAAACGGAGATTCCAACACAAGCAGCAGTGAGGGATTTAGCTCGCATATATACATATACAATAGCATCACTATTGTGCCTCCTGTGACATGAGTTATATGCTCTTAGCTGAAAGCCAAGGCATAGGCTACACGACAATGAATTATCCTGTTGTAGACCTGCAGGATGGGGATTACTGCTGCTGACGCCCCGTCGGATCCCACGCGTGGGACACGGCCAGCACCTGCCAGCAGCTCTGCAACACGGGCGAGCGAGGACGCGTCACCGCGCCAGCCACCACCTGGAAGCGCAAAGGCAGCGGTGTGTGGGGCGGGGGCATCCCCCCTGCTTTAACAGGGGTTGTGCCTTCAGGACACCTGCACTCATGCAAATGCAGCTGGATCACTTCAATGGACAAAAATCCAAAAGGACTGAGGTGTGACGAGCAGCCACCTTAAGTACTGAGCTAGCAAAGGGGAGAGAATAAGGACAAATGCTGTGGTTTACCTGACAAAGCCAGCAAGTCAGTTCTGATCCATTAAAAATTACAGTCCAATAAAAAAAATCACCAAAATAAATCTAATTTAGTATATTCTATCTTTACCTATACCTTTGTTCCAGGAAAAGGAAGATTTGGCCCTCGGAATGGGATTTCCATGATGCCTTCTGCTGGTTCCATAGCGCCTGTTACTAAAACATAGAAAGATAATGTCGTTTTCTAAGTCAAACATTTCTAGGAATAGTTGTTGCGTGTTTGAAGGATGTCTCAAGGTGGGTAAGTTGCTGATAGAGTGCAGTGCTCTTCTCCTACCTTCTCTGGCACAATCATGTTTGCAGTGCTCGGAAGGGATGACTAGATTAATCACTTCTAATGGGTAATGCTTCTTAATGTACACGTGTTTAATACCATGTATCTTTACTTACCTTACGGCACAATGCGACTACAAGGCTGACTACGAGACAACAGCAAGGAGGCCTCCAGTGAACTTGCTCCCAGAAGTACCTCTCTGCCTTGGAGAAAAACTACAAAAATCCTCTAAGAAATAAGCTGAGTGAGACTTCCCAGGAAAAAGAAGACAAAAGATAAACAAATTTCTCTAAATGAGCATAACATTTAAAGAACTGCCCAAAGAGCAAAACTTCTGTTTTGGTACTTGTAGTTCCGAGAATCTGATGGAGAGATGTTTGTCTCTACTTCTTGCACTGAGCCCATTACTTCACTTCTAGTTGCAAATTCAAAGGAATAAAATCTTGCTTCCAAAAAATAAATCAGTAGGATACGTAACACACTCATAAATTAGCACTTTAGAAAGTACATTGTGTGCTGAACATGCTCCCTTTCTATGTCCTTGGCATTGCTGAAGAGCTGTAAAAAAAGATCACAGACAAGGCTCTGTCCCCACTACATTGTGCAAGCTCTCCAGAAGAGCACTAACTTTCTAGCTTTGTCAGTTTAACAGCCTATATTCAGGGATGCAGTTGTTGCAAACCCACCACCAGGTAACCAGGAGTTCTGCATAATGGCTGGCAACCCTGGAGGGGGAAAGCAAGAGCAACCATTATTTACAGAAAGTTCAGAGCATGCTGCAGAACTGGCAGAAGTCATGCTGTTTGTTTGCATTTTTCATCCCTGTGTCTGTCATGATTAATTAGTTTCATGTCCCATGAGTAATATCATGGCAATTAAATATTGGAAACCACAGGGAAAAGTCACAATGTTTTTTTTGGTCACGCAGTTCAAAAGTAAGTGACAAGTGCCAACTTGTTCCCATTCCAATCATATACAAACACTGTAGGACTTTCTTGTAATGTTCCCAAGCACAATTCCTAATATGCTGTCCATCTGAGTTGAGTACATTCATTGAGTACGTTACTGCTGGGAAACAACACTAGAAAGGGAGGTAACTAATGTAGAATTTAAGAAGCTTCTTCAAAGAACTGAGAGAAATTTGTAACTAAACAGTTTTATTGACTTTTTTTTTTTCCAAAATAAAAAACACAAAATAAACACCAAGATTAAAGGCCATAGACAGCATTAACCAAATGAACCAGCCACTTGGTTATAGCAGCTGATAACTAGTACAACTGGATATTATTGCATATACCTCAGTTTCATTTATACATCCTTTACAGTTTGGCAAGATTACAATCATACAGTAGCTTTGGTTGTGTAAAACCTAGTAGCAATACTTATTTAAAATGCAACTGTTGAACATTTTATGATTACAAATACTAATCCCATCCTAGGCTTGATGTGCCTCCTCTCATTCTTTCTTCCCCTCCCCAGGTCTCACTGACCAGCAATTAGGGAGAGTGCACTTGCGTTGTTTATAGCCCTTCTTTATCGCCGCGTGGCGACGCATCGTTCGGAGGAAGGCGTCCGGCCCCGCTTTCCTCCGAGGCGGCTGCAGGGCAGCGTTCCTCTTCCCAGACTGACCCCGCTCTGCTCAGCACTCACCTCCCAAGAGCTGTGCAGGGCTTCCAGCCCAGCACCCTGCACCCTACCTACCGCACCGGGGCTCACTGCACGGCCCTGCGCTTGGGCACCGCAGAGAGAAACAAAACCAAAAAAATAACCCGCGTATCCACACTGCTGTGCTGAGCTGCCAGCACCAGGCAACGTTAGCCCTACCATACAACCCTACTTTTGTTAGGGAATTGTGCCTGAGAGACTACGCAGGATGGCATATGTATGCTCTACAGTATATTCATTTCCTTTTTGGTCTTTTAAGCACTCTCTCATCCTTATGTATTCTAGTGTAACACTGCAACATTAGAGCAATGGTTGATAAAAACACACAGGATATTGGAAAACACTGGAGGCTTTTTTCCCCCCGCCCCCCAATCCTTGCACCACTTTTGCAGGATTCTTCCTTCCCCCCATGATTTGCCCCCAGCTGGGAATATCTACTTCCAGAGGGAATACACACTCTACTTAAACAGCATCTAACACTGATTTCTATCTCGGAGAAGCTACGAAACAAGCTGGATCAAACTGAAATGACCTGGCATGTGAAGATCCTTCTCCATTCACAAAAAGCCACAACACAGAATAGCTCCTACTTGTTTTTGCAGCCCTTTCGCTTGCTTCCACTGAAGCAAAGAGGAATTCTGCATGAGGAATGGCTGCAGCAGTGGGATCCCAACGGAACAAGGTGACTGCCATGCAGTAATTCAAATACAGGCAGTGTAACTGCTTTTTATATTCAGGTCCACACCTGTATAAGTATATAAATTAATAAGCCCTTCTAAATGATTGTAGAATCATCCTCTTTAATCTAAACATTTAAAACCTCTGAATACTTAGGATCACTAGATTTCACATGGCCCACAGCTGTAAGTATTTGCACTTACATGGCAAATATTAGAAATACATTTGCCTGCAGCTGAACAGGTAATTATACTGCCTATTATTCAGGTGAACAAGGATCAAGCACTCTATGTCTTGCAGTTATTGGATCTTATTATAAGCCTTTTCTGTAGAAAAGGGAAATAACCATCTAATTATATTACGAGTGCACAGTACTTAGTTTTAAAAAACCCTTATACTAGGCAACTAGATCTTTTGACTACAATGACTTTTTATGGGATATTCTAAAGGTGGTCTCTTACGACTGAGGATTCTCTATTTCACTGTACTCGCATAGGAAAAATAGTTAAAATCTAATTACAAAGCTGCTACATGGTTATTTTGTCATCTGTAAAACAAAATGAAATCCAGAATTGTATTTAAACAAAATACACCAGACAGTATAAAAATATTTCCCCATTGGAGTTTGAAACATTAATGCTGGATTTTTTTTGTATAAAAAGAAAAGTAATAATGGTAGACATTTATCTGCTTACTAGCCAAAAATATACATATGACTTCAAGGAGCTGTTCCAGGCTCACTTTAAGTGAGCTTGTGCTTTTGACCACAGCAATAATAAATGCACACATGTGGAACAAAGTTAGTGCCTGAAAACCTGAACTACATCTTATTTCTAACAATAAGACTAATTTCTGAGGCTGGCTACAGATTTCCACCTGTTTGCTTTGCTCAGGCGACCACAGCAGAGGAGTTCCAGAAGCACCACTTCCGCCTTGAATGGTGCTTGTTCAGCGCAACGTCTTCCTTCTCTCTCTCTTTCTTAACTCGCTGGTAGTGATCTTCCTCCTTTAGGTACCACACAGGTGGCCAGCGATGCCTCTCGAAGTATTCCTGATTATCTGTTAGAAAGAAGCAAGCAGAAGCCTCCAAACACACCAGTAAGCTACACAAGTCCTGGAACTGCCTTGACTGTCCACAGGAAGCTTTGCAAGGCCTTTCTCTCCCCTAACCGCTCACCCAGCCTCCGGTCATCCCACCTCTCAGGGCTTCCTCCAGGCTCCTCTCTGCATTACTTAAGCAGTGGAAAGGCTACAAAAGCAGCAGTACCCAAGAAGCCTCAGCCCACCACACAAGGATTAAAAAGCCCTGTCAAGGGCTTGCTTTCTGGAAGAATGGAGTGTGAAAACAGCTCTGCTACTTTTATCATAGCTGAAACAGGCAGAGAATAAAAAGCTTGCCCTGGAATCAGGCTAATGACTTAGGCTTTATTTTTTTTTTTTTTAATTTTGCCCCCACAGATAGGAAGGATGCTACCCTGGAGAGGGAGAGCAAATGTAAAGTCGCACGGCTACCTGAGCTCACCTAGATGCTCATGCTTGATCAACAGGGTGGGCTGAAACAAGGGGAAACATAATGAGAACTGGGGAACAAAGTTGTCCGTACCTGAAGATTTAGCTTTGATTTCCTTGCGGAATTTGGAGCAAACACTGTTGTAATTGGTGCAGATGTAGTGCAAACACCAAGCTGCCAGCTGGTTAGCATTGTGAAACTGCAAAGAAAAACAAGCAGCTTATTCCATTTCCTGAAGTTATGGTTCATTTTGCAGGGACTCTACATGGCAGCATTCTCCTAAAGCCACAGGGAAGCTTCTGAGGCTCAGACATGGCCTCTGGGTGCCCTGGCCCATGTTTGTCTCCTTTAGGCACAATTCTGTCAGAGCACCCAGTGGCCCCAAAGGCTCGTGAATAGGTTCCTCGTGTGCATGGCCTCTGGCACGCTGCACTCGCTCACACACAAGGCCTGAATTTGCTGATAAGTTTGTACCACCTAAATGCCCTCTCAGTTACTACAAGCCTTCCTGTGAAGTACCTCTCCAGGAAACTGTACTCACTGACAGAATTTAAGCAGTGCTGAAAGCTCAACACCAAACCTTCTGCAAGTTTCTGATGGTCGTAAGGAAGCACAGCTCTCCACACAGTCAGGTTTGGAGAGCACATGTATCTGCCTGGCATTCTGGCTGTCTGCTGTGATCTTAGGTTATAAACACATCATCTGTATAAGTACAGAGCACAGAGAATATCCTAACAGAGTTTAAACATGTTACTTCTGTCTCCGACCAAAGAAAAAACACTTTACAAATTCAAAATGAAGTAAAATGAGCTGCTTTTTCTTGGAAGAGATTCAGTTCTGGTTTTATAACATCATTATGGGCATTGTACAGAGACGCTTGAAAGCAGCTGAAGGAAATCCTGCATGGTGGCCAACATGTGCTGTATTTCAGTATCGCTCGACTCTAGACTTTAAGACAAGCTGGAGCTAAACTCTTCATTAGTGTTAAATCTAGAATAATTCCAATTTATAAAATATTTTATCTTGTATGACTTAGGCTTTATTACTGCTGTAACACTTTTTTTTGGGGGGGGAGGGAGAAGTAAAAAAAGAAAAAAAAGAAAAAAAGAAAAAAAGAAAAAAGAGATGAGCAGTTTAACTGAGAGTTCCTCCTTTTCATGGTTTCTGGGATTCAAGCAGATGTTTGAGACAACCTGCTTGACCGTAGAGTAGTAGGATTTGTACTCACTCTATCAAAACTCTAAGAATATGTATACGTATATACAAAAGCCCTTGCAATACGGGTCTAAGAATATCTACAGGAATTTAATGGGGAAGAATCCAAGATTCAGTTGTCAGTACAAAGCTAGAAAGGTTTCTTACATTATATTTCATTTTAAAACACAGCCATGAGAATTTTGATCTTGTAAGTAACACAATCCAGAAAAATTAAAATAAGTACTTGAAAGACAACCTATCTCCCCCTAGGTTCTTTAGACAAAGGTTTTTAACATTAAACTAATGTTCACAGGGTAAAACTGCTTTGCAAAAGAAAACAAAATTACGTTTTATTGTCAAACACTGCCAGAGCAAAAGACGCTGAGCCACTTAGATGCAGTGCTCAAAACCATTAAGGCACTGAAAAAAAGTAATGCAGATGACTAGAATATCTTTAAAGAACAGTCCACACTGACCTGGGCCACTTCCAGGTAGGATAACACTTCTCCATCTATTGCAGCGCCGCTCATGGAGGCTTTTGTTAGCTCTTGTACCGCATGCTGCTCTGTTAGAGGAGACAACGAGTCACTCGCACAGAAACAGCCCGTGCCAAAGCCAGAGCACCTGCCAGGACTATGCGTTCAACAACCAAGGCACCAGAGAAGCTCTGTCCTCCCTCCCTCCCGTGCAGATTCACCCCGAAAGTTCAAGCAACTTCAGCCTGGGGGAAAGCAGCGGAAGGCAAATTCTGGCCTTTACCGTCATGCCAAGAGACCCTCCATCCTGGCACAACCTCTCTTACTCCAGTTGAGCTGGAACGGATGGGATGACTGGACAACTTCTACCCAATTCCTATTGTGTCTCAGAGAAAGCAAGTCTGCAATTAATGCCCACTTACAGAAAGGCAAAGTCCACACACACACCCCCCTCAAAATTCAGGGGTTATTTGGGGGTTCATTGATTTAATTCGCAAACTGAGTAGTATCCGGTCACTTTTGTCCAAATAAATGGTTAAAAAGTTATTCTGAGACGAGGGCTGAATTTCCATGTGCTGAGGTGGTTTAGCCCAAGACTAAGAAAGGCAAGAGAAAGGTAAGTAATATTTTTTCCAAGTGAAAATATCAACTTGCATTACAACCGCCTTGCAGAAGGAAAAGACTTATTTTCCTTGACATGTAACAAAATCCTGTGCTGCAAGACCATTAAGACATGTTTCAGCCCTTGCAGAAGACATGTATTGGACGAGGCCACAAACCCTCACCTGCTAGTGCAACCAGGTGAGGAAGGCAAAACCTATTTGCCAAAGCAATTAACTCAAGTGTGTCCAGGTCCTGACTGGAGGACAGTTGTTTGGTATACAGGTAATCCAAAACTGCTTGCATGGAAGTCGTGTTTATGTTGGGAAGAACTACCTGGAAAAGATATTAAAAAGAAAAATCTGTACTAACCGAGCATTCCTCATATAGAAGTCATATTTTACTTTTGCCACTTATGCACCAATTTATTTTAGAAATGAAGACATTTCTTAATATATAAATAAAATAAAAAATCCCAGTAAAATTCAAGATGCCGCCGCTAGGAAGCACACTTCCAGAGTCAGGTTCTTTGCTCCAACAGGCAACCCTCCCAGTTGACTGGATATATATGTACACGTGTATACAAAATATAAGTACATGCAAATTAATCTGACTGCCTGGGAGCAGCCAACTTGTATTTCTAGCTAGAAGGGGACCCATTGTGGTTCTCCTGTAGTTGGTAGTTAACTTCGGAAGTTTGCGAATATTGCTTTTAGCTTTTGCCTGAATAACTGGAATTCAAGCCCAGATTCTATAGCGCTAAAACACCAACCCCTAATACACGTCAGGCACTGTGGGAAACAGCTCAGTTCTTCAAGAAGGGCTAGTTGTAAAATTAATTAATAATATATTTTTGTTAATGCAGAGAACATTAAGTATTCAGTAAATAAGTTTATAAAACTATTACTTTATGTGGGGCACAACGCAAGTAAAAAGTTGGACAGGCAAAGAAAACAACAAATTCATTTCCACCTGCACTTTTAAACTTCCAGATTCATTACTGAATGCCTTAAACTCTAGAAAATGAAAGCTAGATATTTTAAATTGCAAAGATGAATTAAGTCTGTTAAGTTTACCATCAAAAAAGGCTGTAAGAAAATGAATGTATATTTTTCATTGCCAAATGTTGCTTACTACTATCAAACTATATATTTTTAATGAACCACTTGCTGAGCATGCCCCTGGGAAGGAATTATGTTTAAAGCTGTATAAGAAGAGACAAAAAAAAAATAAGTATAAAGTAGAAAATAATCTTCCAGAATAATAAAAAACAAACAAACAAACAAAAAAAACCCTCTTAATTTAAACAAGACCCATTACTACCAAAGGGGACAAGGAAATCAAAGCAGAATAGCCAGCTCTGCATATGGTAAGATACAGGAAAAAGGAATAGCAGAATGTTAGAATTTGAAGAAAAATTCTGGAGGTACCTGAACACTTCTGCTGCAAACCCCTGAAGCACCGAGATCTTTACGCTTTGCCTTCTATCTGTCTTATGCAAGGGGACAGGCTGGTGCATGTGAAGACCTGTGCTGTTTTCTACTCAGGTACTAGAAAGCCAACTCCATTTTCCAGTTTAAAACTTCATGTTCTTTAACTTTTATTCCTCTCTTTGAAGCCCTCCCTGCCCCAAGTGTTCTCACTGTAACAGTTCTGATTTGTGAAAATATATTTTACAATCTTTAAAATAAGTTTAACAAAACTTACAGCTTCAATTTTTCCTTTATTTATTTTTCCTTTTTAGAACTTCATTTTTAAAAATCCTGTTATGACATCAAAACAAGGCATCTCATGCCTTATAGAAAATAAGCTATCTTCCTAGGTGTCCTAAACATAGGGCCTTAAGAAGAACAAACCAACTCTTTACGGGAAGAAAAAAATAATAATAATAATAACAAAAAATCCAGGGCTTATTGCAAACCCCCAAATAGCTACAGAACAATGCTTCAATTTCCCCAAGCACATCAGACATTATGAGCAAAATGGATGGGAACAAACAAATACCTCACTGTTTGAGCTTTCAATAAATGATCCTCCGAACATCGCAGACATCCATTCACAGCTACAGATCAGCAGTGGCTTGTGGGCATTTATGGTTCCATCATCCAATTTAAATGTCACATCTGCCAGAGAAACAAAGAAACAAGGACGGCTGCAAATCTGGGTATAAAGTGGATCTGTGGCTTAAGAGTGTGCTTTCCACTTGCACTTTCTTAAGCAATTACTTCTTTCCTTCCCCCGCTGCAGATGACTCTAGGGTTTTATATTGGTTAATGAAAAAAAATAAACTTAAAAGGCCCTCTGAAAATGGAGATACTGGATTTTCAACACTTTGGAAAATTAGGTCACTTATTTAAAAGCTTCTGTATAGGTTTTGAGAAATTAAACACCAGACTCCTAGCTTGAAAACACTGGCCCCCGGTAACGCTGTAACTTTGGGTTTTTCTCTCCTCTCAGAACAATGTCAGTTGTCACAGTTTTTCAAGTTTGTGAAGAGGCAGTAACATGAATGAAAGGATAATTAGGATTTTCTCAGTAAAGTGTATATTTACTCACCCGAAAATGTCCCTTTACAAAGGCACTCTTTTATCCGATTAGCTTTTCTGACATGAAATGCTTTCGTAATCTCTTGATTCATGAAGGCTTCTTTATTCATAATATTCTCCACCATCATTCGCAAATCAAATACTTCCAAGATTTCAGCAATCTGAGCTAATCTTGTGAGATCATTTTCATTTTCATCCAGTTGCCCCGTGTACAAAAACTGCAAAACAGTTTTAAAAGGTCCAGCCTGCACAGATGAGTCCATTCTTACCACAGTTACAGGACACGTCCTATTTGAAATAGGGTTCACTTGCATTTCCTTGTGCACACTGACGAACCCTTTACCCCAGGATGAGAGAGACCTTGCTGCAGAACTACTTTCACCAGCTTCAGGGTCCAGGGTGTTTAGAGAGTCCTCACTTCCTGGTGCTGGAAGTTTGACTTCGGCAGATTTTAAGGGTACCTCATCACTATCCTCATTTGTCTCACAATGAGATGTCGGAGCATCCCTGTCTGTACTTTCTCTGTTACATTTTATTTCATCCAAGCTTGGACTTTCCTCGCATTCCATTAAAAAAAGGTCATAAAACTTGGAGGAGGAGGTAGCTAGGTAAATCTTGTGAGCAAAAATGAAGTTCTGCTCCTGGAGAACAAACATAACATCCGCACACAGTGGGTTATCCAGCAAATATCCAGCTTCATTCATGCTCGGTATGGGACACTCTGGAATTTTGATAATGGGAGGAGGTGCTTTCGGAGGTAGGAATGGAGCTTGAAGTAGAGGTTTTTGGACCTTTTTCAAATGTGATTTCCAGAATTGCAGGTGTCTTCTGGAGATCAGGGCAGCTCTAATTGCATTGTCAAACACATCTTTAATTCCAAACTGGTCAAATACACTGCTTTCATAATATGGTATCCCAAGTTCCTTGGCAACCTCTCTGCCTCTTTCTGGTGGCAAAATATCTCCTCTTTTTATAGGCCTACAGGTAAATAAAAAAAGGCCCTTACACACAATGATCATCACAAAGTTACTCCAAAACCCACAGAATTCAGAATTTCAGCACTAATTCCTGAGATTCAAATGAATATGAAATACAAATATATAAAATATTAATAAATATATAAATATATACAAATACAAATATATATCATTCAAATGAATATGAAATACAAAGTTAAGCTCATTAAACCCTTTGCATATCTAAAAGCACTATACCAGAGCATCTTAGAATAGCATATAACTGTAATTGTTTAAGCATTGTGGTGTCTTTGTAATGTAACAACATAGATAGAAACCATTTCCACAAAATGTTAAGTGTTAAACTGGCAGCAAGCAAAGCTGACAGGATGCTTGAGAACTTTCATCTTTAAACAATTTCATAAATTCCTTTTTACCAAGATACTGTATCAGTATCTTGGTTTGCATCCACCCTTTGAACTCAAGTGGGCACTCTCATCCCATAGAAACGCCACAAAGCAAGGTAAAGATGAAACGGGAAATGCTTCTTAGCTCATGCTTTTTGAGGAAAATAATAGCAGCCTACGACTAAACCTGCACCCGACCACTTGGAGATGGGCCCGTCTTGGCTGCAGCCGCCTTACGTGGGACCTTGTGGAGGTGCCGAGTGGCTCTAGCCCGGCACGCGGGCTGGAGCGCCAGG